CGAATACTATACATATCTGATAAATCAGGTATGAAATCAGAAATAGATATACATCTATAAGGCTGACTTCCTTGTGCCCAGGAGGCTGTATACACATACATGCATGCACTCCATATACTGTAAAATATCCTGCTAAATTCAGTGCTTTAAAATGGATGAACTTAACATCTATGCAAATGACTGCTCTTGTAACTTACATGCCAGCTTCATTCCCTAAGATTTCTTAGGTCTAGAGATATCCTAAAAAAGTGGACAATGGCAGGAAGCTCAAGCAGTTGGATATGACTTAAAGACAGCTGATGGTGATTCAGTCTAGAGCAGGGATGTCAACTGCCGGCCCACGGGCCGGATGCGTCATGCGGAAGCTGCACCTACCCCATTGCCAGCAATGGCAATACTCTCCCGATACGTTGCGTGACGTCACATGAAGTCATGAGTTTGACATGTCTGGTCTAGAGAAAGAAGGAAGGGCTCCTTCCAGAGGGAATGAGGAGGGGTTTGGGTGGAAGTCAGTGTGGTTTTTCTAAATGCCTAGAAAAAAGTTAATGTTTGGCAATTGATAGAGGCTAACAAAGACTAAATTCCTGAATTGTGAAAATTGGGAATCCAGGGCAAATTTCTTCTTCCAGAATATTGTTTTGCATCCAGATACATGAGCAGGTTATTTATCTTTAAGTCTCCCAAGTCCGCTCTTCTCACAATGGGTATTTTGTTACTGTCTTTGCCATCATAGTAGCCATTTTGTGAACTGACAGCTTCTGTAGCAGAATGATCATGATGATGCCTGCATGCTTTTGCAAAATTTTCAATGTTCCCACCAGCCCAAATGCAGCCATAGAATCATGATATTTTTCAGAATTGAATGTAGTCTTTAAAATCTTTAAAATAGCTAGAGTTGCCATATCAATGAGATGGGCAGCATAAAAATTTAATAAATAAATATCTCTCCTAGCACAACGCTATTTACGCTTATTCAGAAATGTCTAATTGAGTTCAGTGGGGCTTAGTATCAGTTAAATGGGTAAAAATTATTGCAAAGTCACTCTCCAGAGAGGTTGGCTGCTTAAATAAATTGCAGAGTAGCAATTAAAGTTACCTTCCCGCATTATTATCTAAGGCTGGCTAGAATAGGAAAAATCATTTTTACGGTAAAAGAATTAAACCAATGGTTCTCAACCTGTGGGTCGGGACCCCATTTGGGGTCGAATGACCATTTCACGGGGGTCGCCAAACAACGCAGTCCGCCATTTTTTCCCCCTTTTCCTTAGCTGTGCTACTCCCTTTTATTCTATTGGCTTTTGAAAGCCAATGTAATAGACTCTCTTGAATAGAGTCTAATTCTATTAGCTTTCAAAAGCCAATAGGAATTGTCCAGGCTGTCTCTGCCCTGCTGAGCCTGCCAAAAATCCCATTCTGCAAACGGTGCTGCACCAGTTGAGTAGTCCTCGACTTACGACTGGTTGAGTAGTCCTCGACTTACAACCGGTTGGGGGTCGCGGCATTAAAAAGGTTGAGAACCACTGAATTAAACTGTAATCTTTTTGACAATATATCTCATTAATTTAAGTACATTTATAAAGAATATTATTAGAGTATCTTATATCCCAAAGACTTATTGATATCCTGCTTTGCTTCCAAAATCAGGAACAGGACTGAGATTGGACTTTTTCTCTTGGTTTCTGTTCTAATTTATTCATTTTAGTTAAGACTGGTCTGCTGGGAGAGAGTCTATATTTCAATAAGATTGACATATCTCAGTCCTTATTATCAAAAAATATAGAAAGGTAGGAAGACCATAATGACAGATTTCACTGTCACCTTGGATACTGATTGAATAGGCCCAAAAAGATTGTTATTGTTTTTTTATTGCTTGGAGGGGAGAGGTGTTGCGTACTTTTTAAGACATTTCTTCTGATCAGACAAATGTTAAAGATTCTATTTTCCATGCTAAAGCAATATATTTACATGCCACAAATAACAAAGTAAATGCTGCAGAAGGGATCTAGCATGATAATTAAGTACAATGACGACCTATATGAACAGCAAATGCCAGGGAGCTAAAACAAAGCAACAACAGCTTTATTTGTTGACAGATGTAAGAGCCATATTGTTAGTTAATTGGGTAATGGTGTAAACATTTGCAAACTATGTGGTCCCTAGGTGAATTTAAAAAAAAATCAGCAGGCACTCTGGAAATCCAAGGTGAAAGACAGCAAATCTCTTCCTAGCACAGGTACGCAAGTAAATCTCCAAAGTTGAAAGCATTTGAGAAAAGGACATCGTTCATAGTTGTTATTAAGGGTAACTGGAGTTTGCAAATCCAAGAATTCTGATTAGGATGTGCATTGTTAATCACACTGAAATTAAAAATAAGTTTCCATCTGGTTACAGTCTGGAGGATAGTGTTTATTAACCTGGTTTTGCATTTCAAACCAGTTTTTGCCTGATACACAGAAGACATTCTCATTTTACTTACCTTTCTGTGATTTTGCAATACAGGCGTTGTGGGATTTGGAAAATGAGTGGATTTAATTAGATACAGGCTTGGACTAAATAGAAGCAGCTAATTTCTTTTCTCAGGTGCACTACTCTTGTTGTCCAGAGAATGAGCCTGTATTAATAGCAGTGAAATGTTAAGGCTTCAGATACGGAAACAAAGAGCTTCCTTCCTGTAATTGCAAACTACAACTTAGCATTTTGGCTGTTTTGTAAAACCACAGTAGGTTTTATGTGATCATAGCTGCTTATCTCTTTTAAGTCATATATTTTTTGGAAACCAGGCTTTCTTTGTAGATAATACTCTTATTATAAATGCTTTTTCATGGAACCTTAAACTATGTTATAATTATAGAATAAAACATAGATTAATAGAGTTGGAAGGGACCTTAGAAATCTTCTAGTCCTTGCTCGAGCAAAAGACCTTGTACCGTTTTAGATAAATGGTTGTCCAGACTCTTTTTGAAAGCCTCCAGGGAAAGCACCTTATCTTTCTCTTTACAATATAACAGTGATGGCAAACTTTTTAGAGACCGAGTGCCCAAACTGCAACCCAAAACCCACTTATGCATCGTGGGGTGCTGGGTGGGTGTGGCCAATTGGGTGGGCGTGGCTGCGGTGGTAACAGCAGACTGGGTGGGACTAAAAAGTTCAATCAATTCCAACTTTGCAAGATCTTTTTTTTCCCGCGAGTTGAAATTGACTGATTAATTGAACCTTTTTTTTTTTTGCACACGGCGGCTGAGGCCTAAAGTGAAAAGGTTTTATAAAACCCAGCTGAAGGCCTAGGACTGGGGCAACAGCGTGCATGCCCACAGAGAGGGCTCTGAGTGCCGCCTCTGGCACCCGTGCCATAGGTTCGCCACCGCTGCAATATAATGATAATATAACTGGTTTAAGAGATAAATGCTATATGATTCCAGGTTTCAAAGGTTACTCTCATTAAATGGCATAATAAATATTTGCTATTAGTCCATAATAGGTACATCCAGTTACTGTAGCTGCATTTGTGGATACAGACACTAGCCTCTGTTGCCTATAGAGGCTGATAACACAAAACATACTCTAACTTTTCTATCTCTTCCGGTAAACTACATTTTACTTCTTCTGTCATTACTGGATGTTCTTGGTATATAAAATATAATTAGCCGTATCAGTTTTAACTGTTACTTTCTCCTTCTGTTTTCCTTCTACCAAAGGAATTGTGTATTTCATTTAAAGATGAAAAAAGGCTAGACAATCTGGTTTTATTTTATATTTTCAGAAGTGATGGAGAAATAATAGTATTTCTTTATCAAGCAGATTTTGGGGTCCCGGGGAATCTTTACATTTGAGGAGCCGATTTCCATGTATTCAAACTGTTCCTTCATCCCCTCTAACATAGCAAAATGTAGAAATGACTTCAGCATACTTTCTTCCTTTTTTGTCTTGGCCAAGCTTGAGAATTCATAGAAATACGGACTATTTTGTAACCTTAGATTAATCCAATAAAGATATGGCTGTAATGTGGATTTGGAGATTTTTCTTCTGGTCAGCATTCATCTTTCCAAAATGCAGATCTGTAATACAGTAGCACAAGATACTTTGCAAATTATTTACATAATAAACTGTAACAGCTTTCCTGTATTCTGATGGAATTTAACTGTATGTATATATCATTAACTATATATCATTTGGTGGACAACAATCACACAGCCTTTGAATAGCATGCCAAGTACATACGTATGTCTTGCCATACTCTATATATTATGATTTCATTTAAACTTAGACTACATTAAAACAGTCAAATGGAATTCATATTGTCATTCCCTTGTAATTAATTTTTCAATTTTGTAACATTTATAGTTAGAATGCAGAAGAAACCTTGAATGGCATAGGTTGCACGCCATGCATTCCATGCTAAGTATTAACTGTTGGAAAAATCACATATGTTGGATTTGTAAGAATTAAAATCTGTCACATAGTAGAATTTCCAATGATTTACCTTTAATCCAAATCCTGTTGTAATAATAAATGCAGGAGAATATAAACGTAGAATGAGATTTTTGTGAAATTGGAACAGAATAATGAAATCATACCACAATGCTTTGCAAAGTGAAATAATTACATGATGTATCTCATATATGCACTTGGAAACCAATTTTAAATTAAGAGAATACTTTGGTTTCTATATTCTATAAACAGTAATGTTTTTCTATCCCCAAATTATAAAAATGTCAACAGTTTCATCAGAGAGCAAATATTTTTAGATTCTGTTAAAAAAATACAAAGTTCTTGGAAGGTAAGATCAAGGAAACAGCTCACTATTTATTCTGTATGTTTTGCTACAAATACTATTATGAGCATCTTAACAAGGCTATTTCCTGACTCTCTTAAATATATCAACTAACAAGCAAACAGGTCAAACTAATTGTGGAAAGTTTATTAGTCTGATTCTGAAAAGGTAACTGAAGGCTACCTATACTTTTGTTTACAGGTTGTCTTGTTCTTTTTTATTTTCACAGGTAACCCAGCTGGATCCAAATAAATCATTATTGGAGTTAAAACTGTACCCTCAAGAAACACTTTTTCTAGAGGCAAAAGAATAGATGAAGCCAGATTGGAGGACTAAGTAATTATTTGATAATGAATAAGGCACGGCGAAGGCTTTATCCAAATCACTGTGTCCTATCATTTAAATCAGATCAATGTCCCAACTCTGCCTCTTTCAAGAATCTGGGAAAAAAGAATAAACATAGTTCCATAAAAATTTCCCATACATGAGTATGTGTTTTCAACCTCATTTAAAAGAGCAGAGAAAATACTTTGCTACAAACACTGAACACTAGAATCTGTTGCTCACTTACCATCTGGCTTTTGTTATAACTAATACACTGTTAAAATGTGAGTGATTGTCCAGTAGAATTTTTACTCCTCAATTACCCCTTTTTTCACCAAGAATTCTTGGACATTTCTGCCTGTACTTTTGACACTAGAATACTGTATATTTGATATCTTGCTAAACCAGTGCTCTCATATATGTGCATTTTCTTTTCTGTGTTTGAAATTCGATTTTGCCACCTAATTTCTTTTTAAAGGCAGAAAAAAACAATAAATGGGACATTTTCATCCTTGAAGATTTAACAGTATTGTAGTAGTAGAAAGCAGAGGGTGTTTTTTTTTCCCCTATACTTTCTGACTCTTTCATAAGATGTAAGCTTTTGTTTGGAGAAGATAGTTTGACATATATGCAAGATATTTATTTACTGATTTTTATTTTGCTTCGGATCTCAGTCCAGATTCAGTTTGGGGAGTATTTTCCATTACCTTGCAGTGTGTTGAACTGCTGATAATATGAGTATCTAAATAATGTTTTAAAAAAGGAACTGTAGTGAATGTCTAGTACCTAAGCTAACAGTTCAGAAAAAACAGGTTTTGGCTATGAATGTCCAAAGCAGCACAAATAGTAAAATTATTTGCTCATCATTGTAGAAGAAATTACAGGGCTCCTCCCCCCCCCTCCCCTCCCCTCCTCTGTTTCATTTCTTTTTGCTTTTTTTCCATTCTGACACTGGTTTGTATTCTTTTTCTTGCAGTTTTAAGCACCTTGTTTGTTTCACAAACAATAAAAATGTAAAATTACAGTGTACTAAGAAATGTTTGCAAATTTTGATTATGGGCCTGAGAAATGTGTACATCTATTCAGGGGGCTGATCTATCCAGGTGGTTAGAAAATTTAGAACATTCAAATCAGCATGTTGCTTAAAGCTACATCAGAATAGTTTTGTAAGCTTTTTTTTAAAAAATGTGAATTACAAACTGTAGGCTTAGACTGTGGCATACAAAAGCACCATGGAAAATTCATTTTCTAAAGAATACATTTGTTCTCCCTTATTTCTCCATTTGACATATCTTCTTTATTGTAGCAGACTGCCGTCCTGTTGTAAGAAGTAATACAAATTGGAAAAAAATATGCATTTTTATGCATTTTTTGTCTAATTCTCTTCTGGGTGGAGTAATGAACTTAGGAACTATTTTAAGTGTTTAAGGATACAGATATATTATTTTTACCAAATATGGAAAAAGTGGAGAAGTGGAGAGGTATGAATCTTATAAAATTCTGTTAGGACATATATTAGAAGAACTAATCTATTTGTGTCAATCAAAATTGTTGTATGTGTGGTATGTTTTAATCACCTCTGGTGCACACAAATAAATAAATAAATCCTCAAATTGCCAAGGGAAGAAACTTGTAATGGAAAAATTCAACTACTCATTTATGCTGAACAAGTTGAAAATGGAGATAACAAACATAAAGATTTCTTTTTTTCCACAGATAAGCTGGAGAATGGAATCTAGCTTGTGCGAAGTAAGTCCTGTGGAGGCCATTTAGAAAAAAACGGCTTACTTATTTTTTTTCATTGAAATCAAAGGGGCTTAATAATGCTTTACAGCATGCAGAAAAACCTTTTTTTTAACCCCCAATGACAAGGTGCAATGTACACATTTTAACCAAATAGTCCCATTAAAATAGTGTAGAAGCAAATGGAATTTGGACTGCAATTTCAATTGGCAAATCCTCAAGATGCCCTTTCGTTGTTCTACTTCTTTTTAAACATACTTCTTGCTGAAATATCGATATATATTGTATTGGATCCAGGGTGATCATCTGAGAATGGAAAGGTTCTTTTTGTTGGTAGAAGGAGCCCAGCAAGTTTGTAGGAGTACAGGTATCGGGAAATTGTTATTAATTAATAATTGATTGTTTTCAATCAGTTTTTAAGGTACACTTTCATCTCCTCTTTATCAGTTCTGTCCATGCTTCCCTTTTATCAATTCTGACTTCAACATTTGTTTGTATCAGATGAAGAAAAAAAATTATTTGTCGCAACTTAAAAATGAGGCTCTAAACTAAGGCACAGATTAGGCTTTAGATTAGCTTAATATGTGGCTTTGGGAATAGGTTTTTTCAGTGAATGAAGTCATAAATCCAAGGCAAGTGCCTTAACAACTGTCAGAAATGATCACTGGTCCATATTTCAACCAGTTAGTTTCCCGTTTCCTTCCACAAGGATGGTCAGCATTTGTGGACTTATGAATATTTTGTGGCTGGTAATGTAGACATATATGGCATTGGTTTTGATCTCCTTTGTGGAATCCACTTATCATTTAGACCACATAAAAATGCTCATCTATTATTGCTGTTCTCTTTGAATAAGTGAGTCATCTTCTTGGAGGGCTATAAAGATACATCTTCTTCTTGAAATAAAATATTGGTAATTAGTGCTCAATTCTCCATGTTTGGATTTTTAATGTTTGTTACCATTTTTAAAAAGTAGTGATTAAAAATGTTTTGCAGATGTGGAGCCATATTGCTACTTGATCCTTTTGTTATCAGTAGCATTTTATAGACAATTTATTATGTATTTCCTTTCTGTGTTTTACACACACACACACACACACACACAGATACACACATACACACTATTCTACTCAGAAGAGGTGGATCTCTGGAATAAGCCCTAATGCTGGGAAAGATGGAAAGAAAGAGAAGAAGAGGAGGATCAGCAGCAAAATAGATGGACTGAGTTCCAGGGTCCATGGGTACACCATTAAAGAACTGAAGGTTAGGGATAGATCATCATAGAAAAAATATACATGGTCACTAGGAGCTGTACACACAGAGATTCACCAGCTCTTTATTTTCATCATGCAAACTATTATGGCACCCCACAGTTAAATGGTTATTGAACATTATATCTTGGATAAAACTTTTGTAACATTAGATCTTTTGTATAACTGGATTAATACCTTGAATGCATTAGTATTAAATCTTAAGATTTTTTTCTTGTCAATTAGAGGAATGAGGAGTTCCCCTTTCCCATTCAATATAATGGAAAAAGTGGGAAGTTCTTTTGACTGTACAGCTTCTAATATTCCTAGCTTTTTTATTTTAAGTTTAAATTAATACTGGAGCAGATGCCAAACTGTAACCCCTTTCAAAATAGGCTTAACTTAGTCCCTGGTCTAGTTTCTCTTTGTCAAACAGCACCACTGTCTTCTTTGGATTTAATTCCAACTTACAGCTCATTATCAAACTTAGGTAAGGTTTAAGAATATTCATTGCTTCCTTGAAATGGAATGTAAAGAAAAATAGAATTAAGCTGGAATATCATCCTTCTATTTATCCTGGGCTTTATAAAGGAATGCAAGATATTTAAACTGTGTCTTAAAATGAACTGGGACATGAGCATCATGTGACGGAAACATCAGTTTTTCATTTTTGTAGTTCTTTTAAAGACAGCTGGGTATTTCAGTCCATGAAGATACAGATGCAGCAAGTTAAATGGGGAACTCTTGCACATAGATATCTCTGTCCCAGCTGGCTTCATAAATATAGTGGTATAGCTAGCATACTGAGTGAATTTAATAAAAGTAGCTTCTTGACTAGAAAAGAGTTGAGCTTCTAGTGATAAGGAACTTGGAACTGCTAATCTGATTCTCAGGTGAAAGTCTGATCAACTGGATGGAGTATCTACTGGCAATAGTACATAATCTAAACAAAATGTCATTGTATTTATATTGGCCTATTACTGCACTGAACTGAAACTGACTCACCTGCCCCTGATCGAACAGAGGGACACTGCGGGGTGCCATCAATATATTAATAATATCTCAGCACAAATATTTGGGTGATCTATTCCAACAATAGGTTCATGTAAATATGGAATACTCTGTGAGATCAGTCTGGTAGGAGGAATGGAAACGATATCAACTGGGGGTTCCGTCAACCAGTCCAAAGAACTAAAAAAGTAATGGTATTGAAAGCCACTAATACAAGTGAATTAATGGGATCGCAGTTGTCTCGATCCTTTCATAGCAAATACCATCCTATAGGAATTAATGTTTTTTGCTTCCAAATTGAGATTGAAGTCTGCATTGAAATGGTTAATAAGTATGAAAGGATTTATTTGAAATAGCACTAGAGGACAATTTCATCCAAGAGTGATTGATCAGACAACCCCAATGCTACTGGGCCCGATAAGGGATAGTAAAGTGGAAGCTATCTTCAACTAATCCTTCCTTCAGTGCTGAGCTACCCTCAACCTCCAGTTTTTCTTGACATGTTCTGTCTCCAATCCCACACATTCCCATAGCTCAATCATCAGTTTTTCTAGTTAAATTGGATGGAGTGTAGAGCAAAGGGGCACCTGATATCAGCCTTCCTTTTTCAAGCAGATGTGGACCAAGAGACAAATAATCAACTTCATATTTGTGCTTTATACTGATTTGCCTTGCTGGATCACAGTCATCAATAATATTTTTAGGTCAAACAGAGAGTAGAAAACCAGCTTTATGTATATAAGCAGCAACAGATCCCAGGCAGATTGGCAAGTTTTCTCTCTACATACCTGTGATTCTGCACAATTAAGAATTATTTATTGTTTAGGAAAGATTGTTTCTCTAAAAAGGAAACTTTAATTGGCAAATAATTGCATAAATCAGATTACTGTCTTGTCCTATTTTCATGGAACAAAACAATTTGATTCCTTCAATTCTCTATTGAGCAATTTAGAATTTAGAAAGCAGAAAAAAAAACACCTCAGTTTGTATTTAAAATCCCAAAATGGCTATGGAATGGTAAAAATGTCACAAATTATGTACCACATAATATTGTATTCTGAGATTTATTTATGTACTAATAGACTAATGTTTAAACTCTGTTCTGTTTCAAATACTTGTTTAGGCATAAATCTATGAACATGTACACAAGGCAAAGCAATTAATGTAAAAACATGTTTAATTTAATTGTACTGAATGTGATGAAAGTTTGAGAGAATTAGTGAATATTGGACAAATCATTTTTCATGATTATCAATAGTAGACCTGGAAAGAGTAGAATGGACAAAAAATAAATGAAAGAAGTAAAAAAAAAAAAAAACCACCCTAAAATGACAGTAAAACAGCTTTGGGAAGAGATAGTCCAAGCCCTGTATGAAAATAGGTTTGATTAATTTTCCAATACAAAAGTTGACATTAGGAAACTAGAGATGCAAAAATTAGGACAAAGGGGAAACATTGTATAATACATAATTGCAAAGAATATAATTAAGTTAGAGTAAGGAATAAACATTTGTCAGTAAGTTTTTTTAAAAATTTTTTTGGGGGGAGGGGGTCTTTGTTCTTTGTTCTTCAGCCATGGAACCAGAAGCATCATCAATGGTCAGTCTTCAGAATCTAGCATTATCTTTAAGAGATTATGTTTTTTTTAAATTACAGAAATAACCTTGGTGAGAACAATGTTCTCTTTTTTCCAAATTATGTTCAAGAACTGAAAACAAGTTGCTTCAGATTGCTACATTAAACAAACTGAGCCATTTCAAGAACTTTAGATCCAATCATTAAAACAATTCAGTCAATCTCTGCATTTAGCCTTAATTTATTTTTTTCTTCACAGATATAGAGAACACTAAACTCCTTGTTTTTCTGCCTGACATTTTCATTTATTCTTAAACTGTTGATCTGATTTCTAATCAGTGTAAGATGGAGCAAATCAAAGGATTATTTCCTTCAGCATTCACTTGTATGTTCCAACAATTGTTAAGATTTGGGGCATGCTATATGGCCATCATGACTAGAAACTAAAAAGTCTTAACTTTCATCTATTTTCTTCTGAAAGCTACATAACCGTCCCTTTTGGCACATCCAAAAGGAACTCCTGGCACGTAGGAACTACCAAGAGTAAAACTTTATTGAAAGACCCATTTAGGCACAGCAGAAGCAAAGTTAGCTCTGAAGTTTTCCCACAAAAACCCACATAGGTAAAAACCTCTTTTCACTCCTGGGCTGCCCACAGTTCATTGTCCACCAATTACACTCAGTACTTTTGTTTTGGGAAAACATTCTGTGCCAGCTGTTAGCTCCAAGAACTTGGCCTTGGTGGGTCTCCTCTCCAACAGCAGAAAGCTCTCATGCATTCCTTAGCCCCCCACCCCACCCTAGGAATTTACCAAACACCCCCCCCCCCGTTTCTCTTTGGCAAATTGTGAGCTGGACATTGATGCAGGCAATGAAGAAAGCGAGTCAGCTTTGACACCATCACAATCTCTTGTAATGAGTTTTATAATTAAGGACTGCATGAACAAGTTTTAAAAATATAACAATTTGGCCAGTGAGTTGATGCCTAAATTGTTTTAAAAATCATACATATTGAAAGACTTATGAGCACTTTAATATTGGGTCAAAAATGGACAAATGCTGCAAGGATGAGGGAGAAAGCAAATTGAACATAGTGTTCTTTCAGGCTTCCAGAGGAAACAATGAAATAAACATCACAGATCAACAGCACTACAGCAATGAGGTCTGAAATAGACGTCTTCACTGAGTTTCTGATGTAAAGATTTGCTGTCAGTTGACAGAATTTTTCTACTTTATCAAAAAATGTAGACATGTATTTGAAAGCTGTGTACAAAGTTATGCCTTGATTTGTTTTATTCATATAATTTTACTCTGTTTTTCATGATTAACAGTCCAAGATCAGGAGTACATGTGAATGAAGTCTTAGAAACTGGAAAGTAAGTCTGTAGAATGGGAAACCGTTTTCACCATGTTCTCACTACCTAGCTACAGAATATAAATGCATCATTAAGAATTAAGTTGGTTAGAGATGGAAGCATTCCAACTGCAGTGTCCCCTCTCCTTCTCTCAAGCATGCATGCATTTTAAAGAAATAGATGTGAACTTCACATAAGTGAAACTTACTCAATGGATTATTCCATCAGATGGAAGATTGGAAGTGGAGCCCTTGGTACGTAAAGTCTCAAGAAAGACTAAATAAGGTGGTCACAGAGCTATAACTCAGCTTAATTCCTTATAAAAATAGGTAATGTAAATCCATTTTGCAATCTGAAAAAATGTTAAACAAAAATTAATAGAGGAACATAATTACAGTTTACATATGCAACTAGAACCTCCAGCAAAATATTACAGTATGAAGTTTTTGTTTATTGCTTCAGTTGGTGATCCACCATGGTCTCTTCTACAAATCATTCTATTCTTTCTCTTACCTCTTTTCCTTATCTGTCACCCCTATAAGGTATACAAGACTAGAAAAGTTTTCTAGTTATGAATGCTAATGCTATTTTTGTTATAAGCCTATAGTAACAGAATAAGGTTACGGTAACAGAATCTTGCAAGTCTGAATAAGTTTCTTCACCCCGCCCAGCTTTTTCTTCATGAGAAACTAGGGAGGATCATGTCTAAGTTGCCATCTCAAATTACATTTCTGCCCTGATTCAAATTTCTTTTTATTTGGTCTTTACTAAACCGTTGGATTTTTTTTTTTAAAAAGATTGTATATGTGAGC